TGGGGTTTAGCAATTGGCAAATCCTGTCCTACTCCCACTGAATAAATTGGAGCTTGAAGCTGCAACCTGTTGCCTGAGCTATTGAAAAATGCCTTTGAGTCTTTGGCTGTATAGAAGTATTTGGAACTCTCCCTTCGCTGTACCTGCTGAGTCCACTGCTATTCATTATGTCCAAGATCTAGCTCAGTGAAATATCAATGAATACCTGATACGAAAAACCAAAGGAAATATTAAAACTTCACCAGCGGGTTGCTAAAATACAAAAAGCATGTTTGCAAAATGAAACAAAGCAGAACCAAGCAAATGATTTTTGCACCGTGGTCCCACAGTTATATTGATAGTTATACCAAATTGGCCCTTGGCCTGAGGTTGCACAAACGCACTCGGTAGAGATACTGCCACAGACTTTAAATTTATACACACACAGAGCTTGTAAGTACTAAACATTCCCATCTTTTGCATCATCCATATGAACTAGCAGCTGGGTATTTAGGTGCCTTGACTGATGAGGAATACAATTCCATGCATCTTCTGGGGGAGAATATTGAAGGTAAAAGTGGTGATGGGACTTGCAGGAAGAACGTAAACCCGACATGATTTAGGAAAAACATGATTAGATGAACTGATTTTACTCTACTGTCAGGCCACATTAATAGAATCTTGTAGTCTGGTGGCACAAACTTCCCACCATCCTTTTTAACTACTTGCTCCATTAAGGGGAGGGGTTCCTTCCTAAGTTTTTTTCTCCGAAGGTTAAACCACTGGAGGCTGCTGCCTCTCTTGTCTGATTGTTTCCTAGGCAGCATCTCTTCCCCTCTTTCTCCAAGGTCATTCACACATTCCATTACATACTGTGCTCAACACAGCTTACATCTAGATAGGTGTGAATCAGATTGCTGCTCCATATGCTGTAGTACAAGAGTGGGCAATGCATCAAACCTTCCAATATTGCTGAATTTTAACTTCCACCAGCTCCAGCCAATATGGTGAATTGTGAGGGATCCTGGGAGCTGTAGTTCAGTGACATGTTGCCTATTCTTGTACTGCAACATATGGGAACAAAATCTGATTCACGCTTATGTGGAGGTACAATTTGATAAACACAGTAGGACATACAAATGAATAAATTCACAGAGGACTGCATGGTAAGTCACATTTTGACCAGCTCAGCTGTAGTGTTATGGAACCTAAATATATGTTGTCTGCTTGTTTCTCAAGAAAACAGTTTTTGTTTTGTAACAGAAACACAAATTGTTTAATTTAGCTCTAAGTGAAGCTTTTTTCTGGGAGTGTATCTGTTCCTTATTTTACAGATGATGTTTCTTTAATTGAGGTCTGCCCAATCAAGGTTAGATTGTTGAGACAGCACCTGAGCAGTAGACAGAACTTTACACATTTCACCTGGCCACATAGGTCATTTCTCAGTGTTTGAAAAATATATTTCTTTTAAAGTTTTCCTTTCTAAATAAGTACCTCTGCACACCAACTATAATTATAGACAAATCAAGGTTCTTCCTGACCTCCCACTTCGGCATTTTGTAAATGTCTATCTTATTTTCTTCTGAATCTTATGAATAGCAATTTTCATTTCCTTGTGGTGCCGTTTGTGTGGTATATTAGAAAAGAAATATGTAGGTCAACAGGTTGTTCCTTAAGCTTTCGGACCTAGAAAAATCTGGGCGGGATGTTGTACAATCAGACAAGTCTCTCTTCATCCCACATGTCACAGCATAGGGTAGCACTAGCAAAAGCACTTAGACTTACATACTGCTTTACAGTCCTCTCTAAGCAGTCAGCATATTGCCCCCAACAAACTGGATCCTCATTTTACTAACCTTAGAAGGATGAAATCAACCTTCAGCAGGTGAGGATTGAACCTCCGGAAATCAGCAGAATTAGCCTGCAATACTGCATTCTAACCACTGTGCCACCACGGCTCCTGGTGAATCATGGAGAGATTCTTTGAACATTGCGGCTGTAAGTGCACTTCCATTACCACTACTCCGTCAACTTTGTCAGGGAAGCTGAAAAAGCTTGACTAACACAGTAGACAGAGTCTTTGATACTCTGACTAAGAACCCATTAATAATCTCCAATTTACTTTTTTTTAATTAAAAAATTAAGGCATTTTGGATAAAAATATGGTGGATTATCCAAAACATTCTCAAAAAGAAGATAAAATTTACTCCACAGTTCTTTTTGTTAGGTATGATTACAGAATGTACGGTCATAGAGACCAAATTGATTTTAAATTTAATAACAGCAGCCAGACTTTTGGTGGCACAGTATTGGAAGAAGGAAGACTTACCTACTATTGAAGAATGGACATTAAAAGTAGTAAATTTAATAAAGATGGCAAAAATTTCGGCATACTTGAAGGATCATTCAAATGAAAGATACATATTGGAATGGAGAAGATGGATTGACTATATTCAAAACAAATATCGGACTAAAAAGTTTCAAATAGCCTATGAATGAAACCAACATTTTCCTTTTGAATTATGTTTTGTTAGTTGAAAGGGGAGTTAAAGAGCAAGAGGGAGTTTGGAACTTACAGAAAGTTAGCATATTTTAGTTTATGTTTGTTAAATGTTCGAATCTTACCAGGCTCAAGGTTGACTCAGCCTTCCATCCTTTCTAAGGTAGGTTAAATGAGGACCCAGTTTGTGGGGGCAATAAACTGACTTTGTATAAATATACAAAAGTATGAAGGCTATTGCTTAGCGCATTGTAAGCCGCCCTGAGTCTCCGGAGAAGGGCGGCATATAAATCAAATTTTTTTTAAAAAAATGTTATACCCTGTATTTCCTCTGGGAAGTCCGGGGTGGGGGTGGGGGAGTGGGGTTGGAGGTGGGGGGAGGAGGGATGGGAAAAAATTGTTGTAATACTTGATAAAACTTTTTAATAAAAAAATAATCTCCAATTTATGATATTTCTATCAAAATATGAATTGTTTGGTGGGGGGCCTCCTACAGCTCCTTATGTAAAAATTACCATATTAACAAAAATAAATACTGAAAAATTACTAGAAAGAACTGCATTCTACAGGCATAAAGCTTCCTAGAGCCTAGTCAGTGACTGTCAGGCATGAAAGACTAGGTCCACATGTGAAGGTTCAATTTAACTGATTTAAATTAAAATTTAATATTGTTAAAAGCTTAGACACAGGAAACTTTTCAGCTAATAGTCAGTACCTGGTTAGAATTAGATAAAGCTCAATAACAATCAAGAGGGGTTGGACTGTTTTAGCTACTTAGTGTTTGTGGTTACTTAGTGGTTCTAGGCTGATCCCTTATTTCATTCCCTCTCTTGCTCTGCCAGTCCTTCTATACTGATTTTCTCATTGACTTTTAAGAATAAAACTGGGAGAAAGTATTGTGGAGGAAAGGTGAAATATCAATGAAAATAATAAAAAATTCCTGCGCCAGTTGTTGGACCTAGGATTCTCTGCAGTCATCATCTCTGGAATTATCCTATCAAAGTACCATGTACTATCTCACTTACTATGTTTGGGATGGAACTACTATGCAATTCCTTATCTCAATTGTTCTACGATGGCTTGAAAAAAATCTTAAGCTTCTAGTATGTAATAAAAATCCGGGAAATGAGAATTGTTCTTTGGCATAATACTCGGCATGAAGAATGATATAATAACATCATACACATAAATGGTCATCTATATTTACCTGTTTATTCTTTATAAGTTTTGCTTCAAGAATCTCAAGCTAGCAATTATACTATGAGGTATCTTAAAATATTAAGTCTGGTCCTAATTTACTCAGTAGGCTTTGTGGCTTCTTGCTTCTTATGTAGTTATGCCTTCTTGAATTAGGCAATATACAATTATTATGGCTGGTTACGCAGTCAGCCCAATGTTTAGACTTGATTGGCATTTTTATCCATCTATCAAGTCCTTCCCAAGGACCCGAGATAGGCAGATGTTGTTGTTTGATGATGTTAAAGGTAGTGTTGCAGGATGTAAGCTGTTCGAAGTACAGTGGCACCTCAAATTTCCTACTCATCACATTTTGATGGGAAAATTTTGTCCCAGTACTATTGGTTGTTTGGTACTCAATGCACAAGCTAGAATTTGTTGGTATCGGCTGTCTTGTGATTCACTACATTATTCTTTATCGGAAAAAAATGTTTGACACTCATCATTTTTGGTAGTTATCATGCCTCCTGGAATCAAATAAGGGTGAGTACCGAGGTACCACTGTAAAGCTGCCTTTTGTAATTGATAGGGACTTTGTAGGTGCTGATGATGTTCAAATGGTGCTCCAGATGTTTTGGGATTGCACCCAAGGTTTCTATTATTCTTGGTACTATTCAGTGGTGGGGGCTACCGGTTCGCACCGGATCGGGTGAACTTGTAGCAATGGCAGGGTAGGCTTTGCCCACCTGCCCAGATGCTTCTGCATATGCACAGAAGTGCCATGTGCACACATGCAAAAGTGCCACGCACACATGCACGAATGAACCAGTAGCGATGGGATTTGGAACTGCCCATGGTACTATTGCTTTCTTTTGACACAGTTGTTCTATTTGGAGTTCTTTGTATTTTGTGATTTTCTCCAGTACTTTCTCTTCCCTTCCCTTCTACTGTCTTCAGATATTGCAATATCCACTATCCAGATTTTTTTCTTGCTTATCAACAATTGTTAAGTGTTGGGGGCTATGTGGCAGGTGCTTGCCTGAATTTTAATGTCCTAGAACATGTTAACCTCTTCATTTTCTATTACATTTTTTTTTTTATTTGATTTATATGCCGCCCTTCTCCGGAGACTCAGGGCGGCTTACAATGCATTAAGCAATAGCCTTCATACTTTTGTATATTTATACAAAGTCAGCTTATTGCCCCCACAAACTGGGTCCTCATTTAACCTACCTTAGAAAGGATGGAAGGCTGAATCAACCTTGAGCCTGGTAAGATTCGAACCTGCAGTAATTGCAGGCAGCTGTGTTAATAACAGGGTGCTTTAAAGCACTGTACTACCAAGGCTCTTTTATGTTGTTGTTTATTTTATGAGTCCACCATTTCTTGCTTGCAGACAAATGGTATTTCTTGCAGATATTCCGATGCGCTATTGTTGCTATTTTGCCATGCCATTGTTAGTAGCCAGTGCAATCTTTTTGCAGCAGCTAATCAGATAGTCCACTGTTTCTTCAGCTTTTTTGCAGAGGCGACGTTTGCTGTATTATGCAATAATGCAAAATCACTGCTGCCAGTTCTTTAGCTGGTGTTTTGGCCTTTGTATGGATCAAGTTCTTCTCAAGAACCTAGGATATTATAAAATATTAGCATAGTAAATATGAAAATCCAAACAGTGTAGCCTTTTATAATTGATAGATGGAAATTTTGTCAATGAATAGATTTTCCCACAATCTTTTAGCCTGCTCATTTCAATTAATTTCCCAACTATATATTCTCACCAATTTTTCATTAATGGAACATATAATTTTTACAGATGTATCAGTGAATTGTTTTTACTTTTTTTGGGGAGTGGCGGGGGAGTGGGCAAAGTAAGTTTACTTTTAAAGAAGCTTGAAAATTTCAGCCCTGCTTCAACTGTCTTTATTACTTTATTCTGGCTTCATCTGTTCATCTATTGGTTTTAAGGACAATGTGCCAGGCATAATCTTGACTTCATTTTTGTAGACTGCCCTTCCATTGGCTCTGCCATATAATCCCATCTGAGACCAGTTAGCTTTTTTAAAGGGCAAAAACTGTATAAAAATTATTTTATTTTCTTAATGAATTATTTTTCTTTTTAATTAAACTTCAAAAACTACAATTAGCTTTTCTTTTCAAATTAATTTGTATGGTTATATATTTACTAGATGGCAGTCTGACTATATAACTATATTACTATATTTTTAAAAACTATGCAGCTTAAAAACCTAATCTGCTATTTAAAAAAGCTGTATATTTTTTTAAAGAAACCTTTACTAACAATACTAGAGTTAACACCAAAGAAATACCAAAGAAAAGAAATACAAAATTGCAGAGGGAAGCTACTAACCAAATATATACATAATTTTTCACATTTTAAATATTTAAAATACATATTTTAGATAGCTGCTTCTAGTAGATGCACAATATATATTATATGTAAACTACTCCTGAAATTAAGAAATTTATTCAATAGCTATTTCTATTTATAGGCAAAAGACATGAATAGCAAAATACAGATATAATTTAAAAATTGGCACAAGATAACACAGTTTACAGGATAAAATAAATGAATAAATATTATATAAGATGTTTTAAAACATAAGCATATTTATTTATCAGTAAAGACCTAATGAATTAATAATTTGGATTTTTGACAGAATCATAGTGTCTGGTCTTGGTTTCCCAAAGCTGATTCAAAGACAGACAATTGAATCACACTCTTATTCTAAATAATTTTGTCCTAGAATTTGTAATAGCATTCATTTATGACCATAGGCCTGCCGTGTTCCTTGTTGATGTATTCCCATCACTCCTGCAAACATCCATGCAATAAGACTGCTAACCTGTAATGAAAAGGTGGTATTTCCTGCTTGTTAACGTGTTTATAAACAGAATCTGTGTTAGTGAACGAGGCAGTCAGTGCAGGTGGACAGTCTAAAGCAATGTGATGTATGATCTTTTACATGGGGACTGCCACATTGGGAAGTGAGGGGGTATAAGGTAAAAGGTAGGGCTACTTGGCGCCGGTCTGGAGAACATCTCCTAACCAACCCAAGGGTGCATTACCCGACTTTGGGATGGGGGTAGAGTATGTCACGGGAGAGAGACATTATTGTTGTACTGTAACGAGTCTGATTAAAGTGCTCCCAGCCTTTCTTTCAGTTTTCTGGGCTCCTAGCAACAGCACACAAAAGTGGTTGGATTGTTCTTGGCTCTGCAGGGGCAGGGACTGCCTTTGATCTACCCACCATTACCCTCAAGACGGAGACAAGCAGATAGATGGAGGCCACTGGCACTTGTGCGATGAAGGCAGCATTGGCTGCCCAGAAGATGAGCCCCCAGAAGGTACACCAGCTTCATGGATGGGTGAGAAGAGGACAACCCTCTTCTCCTTCCATCGTGCCATGTCAATGCATAACCTTCCTTTTTCTTTTTGGTTATGTCCTCACCCTCATCTGCCCTTGGTCAAAGTTCTTGAAATGGGAATGAAATAACAATTACGTTATCTATTAATCTATTTATCTATCTATCTATCTATCTATCTATCTATCTATCTATCTATCTATCTATCTATTTAGAACCTGTACAATAACCTGCTTCCTTTATTGTTCTGGGCAGCTGAGAAGGTCCTGGAGGAAGGTCTTTATAGAAGTAGAGAGGAAAGAACCATAAATATAAATTAAAGCACAGATGTTCCATTTGAGCAAGATATATTTATTTAGAGATGATTGGCAGGGCTTCTGCCTAATCTTAGGCTGATGTCTTTCCCATCACTTGCTACAGGATCCTTTTACTTGGAGACATGTAGTCCTTCTGAATGCCTAGGACTTCTCTTTCAGCCTTGCTCCTTGGGGAGACTACTATGCTCCATAGTTCTTTTCCTATGGTGTTGCTCTCTAGCCTTTGCTTTGCAGGTACTCTTGCTTTCCATCCTGTCATTCTCAAATGACAATGTCTTTGAGAAAGGGAAAAGATGCTAGAGTCAATGGGAAGGAGGCACTGGATTACTGTTTGAGTCAGATCTCTGGAGTTTACAAGAGGTTTGTAAGCTTGGGCTCCCTGCTTTATCCTGAATGTAGAAACTTTTTCAGTGAAAGAGACAGAAAGAGATCATGCTGCATGGAGAAAATGGGTATGTCAAGAGGTGAGCTTTCCTTCCCCTCCCTGATACCCTTCAGCCAAGTAAGGGTTGAATTTGGCCTTCAGATCACATTCAGTCCCTCACATTTGCCAGACCAGTCATCTGAATGCATGTAAAGTTAGCCTAAACATTGTATTAGATTAGGCAGATAGAACATTAATCTTATGTATAGGTAGTCCTCAACTTACAACCATTCATTTACTGACCATTCAAAGTTACAATGGCACTGAAGTAAGTGATTTATGACTGATTCTCAGAGTCAGGACTGTTGCAACATCCACACGGTCACGTGATCAAAATTCGGATGTTTGGCAACTGGCATATATTTATGACGATTGCAGTGACCTGGGGTCACGTGATCACCTTTTGTGACCTTTTAACAAGGAAAGTCAATGGAGAAGCCAGATTCCCTTAACAACTGTGTTACTAATTTAACAACTGCAGTGATTCACTTAACAACTGTGGCAAGAAAAATTCTTTTCTAAGGGGGCAAAACTCGCTTAACAATTGTCTTGTTTAGCAATGGAAATTTTGGGCTCAATTGTGGTCATTAGTCAAGGACTACCTCTATTTCTGTATCCAGGAAATTGTCTCTTTCAAAGTAACCTAGCATTCTCTTGAATAAAAATACTCAGTTTTAGGAAAGCCAAATTCCTAATTCCTACAACTAATTCCCACTGCAGGAGAGGGAATAGAAGTAACAATTCTACTCAAATATATTTTGAGCCGTGGTATACCTAAACCCTTAGAAAAGAATTCTGAATGTGATTACTGTAAATTGCATCCAACTCCAGAATTTTTCTTACTTGTACTAGATCCATATAAGCCAAAATATATTAAAGTAATATTAGGAGTCTTGTGTCCTTCACAATAAGCATTAGAGCAGCATGTGCTGGGGATTTCTGACAGCTGAAGTGCACCCATTTTAAACTTGCTAAGGTTGAGAGTATCATAAATCATACTTCTTCTCATCAGCTCAACACTTTCTCCAAGTTTAAAGTACTATCAAGTATTGTGCACAATGTGTAAAAACATAGGAAAGATTTTAAAAAATTGAAGCTATTTTGCAATAAACTTTGGACCACCTCAAATCACATACCCACACTCAATATCCTTTAAATATGTATTTTTAAAATTACTATTTTGTAAAGCAAGTATAAACCATTATAACTTATTTAAATATGCTAACTAAATACTACTCACGTTAGGGGAATTGCAAGCTATTTCCATCTCATTTTGATCAACACTTTAAATTAAAAATTAACGAAGAACACCAGTACAGTTAGATCTATGTTTTAAAAAGCTAATGATCAGAAGGAATCTGGTAGCACATTTTCAGCTCCTTTTGATAAATCAGAAAAGGCAATATCAAACTCTTTGATATTTTTGGCTACTATAGACTTAATCTGGTTCTCTTGCAGCAATGTCTAGGGAAAAAAAATAAGTTCCTGTTGAAAAAAAAAAGAATATATTGTGAAAAAGCAAAGCAAGGACATTATTTTCAGTAGGACACAGTTTTGTCTTTTAAGTACTTCATTGCAAAATACAGTTTTCCTTCTTTTGGGAAAAAACAGGTTAATATTTGGTGTTTTTGTGGAAATGTGTAACGAGGGAGGTGAAAAGCTGCACCCTGAAACTCTTGAGAGCCAATGACACTTAGCTCAACAATACCAAATAGAGGCTAGATGGCCTGAGTTACAAGCCAGCTTTTTATGTGCCAGGAACCTGGAAGACTATTATTGTAGTTGTATGCCTGAGGAGGCCTGAATTTGACCTTAAAGCAGTAAACATTAAATGTGTTACTTGGCTTGAGAGGGGAAAAAGAAACAGAGCTGTAATATCATGATCACTGCTTAAGGTGTGGGTCCTGTCTGGCACTTACTAGAGCTTCCTGGCATTTAAAAAAAAAAATTACTGCTTTTTGAACTCTTGCACACAAAAGTCTTGACACAAAAGATGGGATGAGCAGAATCCTCTTCATATCTCTTCAAAAGTGAACCCACTGGCTTCTGTAGGATTCATTCCCTACAGAATTTAGGGATTTCTCGTCAGAATTTAGTTCTCAGTGAAATCAGTGGGGCCAGTTAGTCCTGACTTAAGTCTGGTCAGCTCAGTACCGATGCAACCTTTTCAATCCCTTCCTTTTAAGATACACCCAGCCAGTCTTAAGGGTTTTGTGGGATCCATTTATTAAATTAAATCCAAAGACTAATCTGGTGTTAGTTGCCAGAGTAAGCCCTAGCGCGGTTATGCTTCTGATTGTCCCCATTTTGACCCTGGACCCGTGATCGTCGCACAAACCCCTTTGCTTTCTTTCACGGTCACGCGGGAAGTCTGAGGAAAGACTCGGGTGGACATCGTAGCCTGGAAAGAAGCGGTCTCCTTGTTTCCACAGGCTTTTCTCTCGGCTTCTGTCTCGACCCCAAGCCCCTTCCTCCCCTTAGCCACGCGGGCGGCTCTGTTTCCAGAACCACGAGCGTCCTCGCCTTCCCCGCGCGGCAGTGCTGGAGGATGCGGGTGGAGAGGCGAAGCCAGGCGGGCTCGCTAAGCTTCGGGGATTTCACGAGAGCTTCGGCGCTTTCCGCTGAAGTCGGGGAGGGGGCTCGACTTCGCTGGACCCCGAGCTAGAAAAAGAGAAAGCAGGAGCTCCGCTTTCCCCGAGCACAGACATCCGATCTGCACCGGTTCAAATATCCGCTGCAGAATAAAGGCCAGTTCACGCGTGGCCTTTCGTCATACCGCTCCTCCGGTGGGTAAGGCATTTTTCATCTACCTAGAGAACCGAACTAAGAAGCGCCAATTCAAATAAACTCGACCTTCTGAGCACCGCGTCGCTGAAGCTTAACTTCTTTAAAACCAGTAGGATTCGGTTGTGAAGGAGAAAGGGCATTTGACGAGTTTACAAGTAGACCTCGATTTATAACAGTTCATTTAGTGACCATTCAAAGTTACATCACTGAAAAAAGTGACTTAGGAGCGTTTTTCACACTTACGACCATCGCTGCATCTCCATGGTCACATGATCAAAATCCAGATGCTTGGCAACGGACTCATATTTATGCCCGTTGCAGTGTCCAGTGTCCCATTTTGTGACCGTCTGACAAGCAAGGTCAATGGGGAAATCAGTTTCACTTAACAACCGAGTTACTAATTTACCAACTGCAGTGATTCACTTAACAACTGTGGCAAGAAAAATTGTGAAAGGGAGCAAAACTCGCTTAATAATTGTCTTGCTTAGCAGTGGAAATTTTGGGTTCAGTTGTGGTCATAAGTCAAGGACTACCTCTATTTCTGTACCCAGGAAATTGTCTCTTTCAAAATAAGCTAGCGTTCTCTTGAATAAAAATAGTTTTGGGGAAAGCCAAATTCCTAATTCCTATATCTAATTCCCATTGCAGGACAAGGGAATAGAAGTAACAATTCTACTCAATTTTGAACCGTGGTATACCTAAACCCTTAGAAAAGGATTCTGAATGTGCATCCAACTCCAGAATTTTCCTTTCTTGTACTAGATCAATATTAGCTCAACAAATGTTTCCCTTAGCAACAGAAATTCTGGGCTTAATTGTGGTCATAAATTGAGGACTACCTATATTGCTAGGCACCTTTTCCCTTCAGAGCCCAGAGCAGCACCCACTGGATCTCCTCTTCTTTTACCTCCACAACATCCCTGTGGAGGAGGAGACGGGGCTGAGTGAGGGTGCCATCTACACCGGTGAGCTCCTTTAAGTGACCTTCAGGCCAATCTGAGGTCTTCAGCAAGTGAACGGGCAGCTCTTCACTGTGTCCCCAACCCCAATTTTTGGGCTGGGCTGGGAATGATGGAAATTTTAGATCCAGTTGTTTGGAGAGTATCTGCTTGGAGAAGGATGGGTATTTGTACTCCCTGATGGAAACAGCAAGCCAGCTGGAGACCCCGGGGTGTGTGTGTGTCTGTGTGTGAAAAGGGCAACAGGGGTCCCTGGCTGGTGAAATGTTGTGTGGGAGAAAGCCCGGTTGCACGCCAGGTCCCTTACTGTGTCCCCATCCTCCAATTTGTGAGCTAGGCTGGGAATGATGGAAATTGTATACCCGGGGCCGTCTGGAGAGCATCTGCTTGGAGAAGGATGGGTGTTTGTACTCTCTGATGTGAGCAGCCAGCCAGCCAGAGACCCCGGGGAGAAAAGGGCAACGGGGGGCCCTGGCTGGCGAAATGCTGCCCGAGAAGACCCCGCGGGGGACCAGGGGAACCGGGGTTTTGTGGGGGATTTTCCCCCCCCCCCCTTTTTTTTTTTTTTTTTTGCACGGGAAGGATCCCAGGCAGGCTCGACAGGCGGAGGGGACAGGAACCCACCGAAAGGCCTCGGAGCAGCAACACCGACGGTCTCAAGCGGGCAGCCCCACCGAAGGCGGCCCACTCCGGACGGCTTCGGCGCTTGCTTTCCGCCAGGCCGCGCCAGCTGCCACCGCCTGTCGAGCGGTCACCGGAGCCTCTTTGTGATGCAGCGGGATACGGGTCGGGGCTGGAGGGACCAGCCGAACTGCCGCCGAGCGAAGGGAAACTTTTCCCCCCGCTTCGGCGGGAACTGCCGGAAAAGAGGACCCCGCCTCCCGCCTCTCTGGCAGGGCCTCATTTGCCGGCTTTCTCGGCAGCCGAAGCGACTCCTGTGGCTGCACCGGTTGGCGGGCTCTACAGTTGGGCTTGTTGCACGGTCCGCGTGGTTTAACGGTAAGACATTTGCGAGGAAAACAGAGGCGGCGAGTCTTGGGATCTTTAGGCCTTCCCTCCCGCGTCCTCCGCTTCTTCATCGACTGCAAGGATTTGCCGCCTTCGACAAGCCGGGCTGAAGCGTTTCTCTTCTGAAAGTCTCGCAAACTCAGATCCGGGCGGGCTGCGTGGAAGCGGCCTCACTCGCCGACGGGTTTCTCTTCCACCTTTCGTGAAGTCGACCTGTTAAGACTCGGCAAGGACGAAAGCGGCCTAGATGGGAAGCGGGGTGGGGTGGGGATTGGGGGTGGGGGGCGTTTGCTTTAATGATTTTTTCCCCCTCCTCCTTCTCAATGTGTCGAGGGCAGCGTTCGCCCCCATCGGCAATCGGGAGAAGAAACTTTAAGGAGAATTAAAGTGCCCGCTTTAGGAAGAGATCAGCCGCCACAGATCGGCTTTTAATTTAGTTGACAAGCAACCTGCCAAATGTCTTAGTGGAGAAGATGTTTAATGTTGAGTCGCTTAGAAAGATGGCGGCAGTCTCTCCGCTGTCCTCCAGGTATTGAGGTGAACCTCACTAAAAGATAAAGTTCAGTTCTGCAATCTGCTCAGGTTCACCAGCTGGATTGGTTGTATCCCTTTTAACAACCGACGCTATACAGATGTAATGCCACTTGCCTATTGAGTCATCTTCAGAAAGGGTCACCCCTAGAGAAGAAGAAAAAAAAATCATTCTGGACCCACTTACAGCGACATACTGAAAGGTTGGAATAAAAAACACTGGTTAACTAACAAATCCAAACAGATAAAAGAAAAAAAAAAACGCTTAACACTTTTCCTGTTGAAATCTGTTAGAAATAAAGAATTTAGAATCTCAATCGTATATATTGATATTTCAAATATAACCCAAGTCCTGGGAATATATTAAGTAAACCTGTAAAGAGTTTGGGAAAGATTTTGTTCTCTTCCATTCCATGTTTGGTGTATTTTCCCACTCAGAAATACATATATTCAATGTCCTACTTAAGAGAAAGAATTTGGGGAGAAAAAGGGATTCAAATGCTTCATATTCAGGCCAGTCCTGTCACTAAGACTTTAGTTATGTTTTAAACCCCCTTGCCCCCCCAAAAGGGAGATAAACCCTCAGCTAGGATTTCCCATAAGTAAAAGTGCAGGTCTTGTTGTGAAGGGAGACAAAACTGGACAGCCCAGACTAAGGCTAAATTCCCTCCCCTTCCTCAAATTCCACTTGACCATGATTCCAGGATGACTCTTTCACCATCTTTGCTTCAGCAATTAAACCAGGGCTATCCTTGATTGTCATTAAATTCCCCATAAAACAATGAAGACATTATGTTTGAAAAACCCCTCCAGGCCAAGGATTAAGAGAAGACAAGAATCCTTATTCCCAGGGTACGATGGAGAATAATGGAAATAAATCGGGAGGGGGGGAATAGAGAAATCCATTTTAATTTTCCATCCCTGGGGTCTCTTACCCTGCAGTCTGCAATGGGAAGGAAAGGAGCGGGCATTACACTGCTTCCTAGTGGCCTGTCAGACTGATCACTTCAGCTGTTTGGACTAACCAAAGTTGGGAGCAATGCTTTCTTTTTTATTTTTTTCTCTCTGGGTAGAACTTGTCTGAGCTTGGAAGTTAAGTATAATAGATCCAGATAAGACTTGCCAGAGGAGTTAAAACATTGCTGGAAAGAGGCAGTGGCAAAACCCTTCCCTCCCATTGTGAAGAAAACTACATGGGCTTGCCCAGGAAGAGAGGAGGAGAGAGTTGGATTTGAAGGAGAATTTCAGTGCTGGCAGCTTCCAGGGAGCGAAGCCTGCTTAAGGGATGGCCTTTACTCTCATGATTGAGTGGAGCTGAGACAGAACATCTGACCGGAGTGGATGAGCTCCTGTCCATTTAAGGGCAGTCCTGTCCGCAAAGAGCTTGGTTCAAAATCTGAGTCAAGTTGTGCCATCTCCTAGGTGTGGTCCTACCAAAGTGGTGCTTCCAAATAGATGGAAGATGACTCCCATCACCTCAAGTGAAGTATTAGTAGGACTCACCCCCTAATCTAAGACCTAATGTAGCAAGAAATCTGAATTTTGGTTTGAAAAAGTGATTTTTCTATGTTGTACTTGGCATCTAGCCTAGCTTTGCTTGGCCTACTAGTTTTCCATGTGCAGGGCTTTCTTAGCCAGGAGGTACATTTAGTTATATAATACCCTGCCCCATGCACGGCTGCTGTTTGGAGATCACGCTAAAACCAGCAATAGGAAAACCCCAGTATGCTCAGCAAAATAAACCAATTGTATTATTGCTGAGGGGGTTGGCCTGATAAGGAGCTTATTTGGTTTGGCTTTTTAGCCACTGTGATTTGTAAACCGTGAGTAATGGTTGTGGTAGTGTTGGAAGGTGTTGCTTGGCGCATGCTGTAGACTGGACTCTGCGCTTGAATAGGCTGGCCTTTTTTTTCCAGAAATAAATGTCCTGGCATAAACAAACAGGATTAGGGTTTTGTCTGCACATAAAACTGTATTAAAAAAATAGAAATGAAAAAGAAAACATTAAAGTAATGAATCAAATCTCTTAAGAAAAGCCAACATCTCTTTTATTTGAAAGTTGGATGCTTATTTTTGTGAACTTTCACATCATTCATGCATCTATTTTATACACATGTATGGAGAAAGAAACCTAACAAAAATAATAACTTCTGGAATTAGCAATTGTTTGAGAATTCAAAAACAGGACTTGATCATTATTCCAAACTGGGTAACCTGATGCAAGTATTGACTTCTAACCTTCCATTTTGCCCTCTCCCTGTGTTAAACTACAGTCTCCATTATCTAGATAATGTGAGGGCTGGAGATAATGGGAAAGTTGGTGTATAGGTTTTTTATCTTGAATAAGGCAAAAGTGGGTGGCTAATTTAGTGAGATGAGGAGTTTGAGAGCCAGATCACACATTTCTGTACAACAGAATAACTTGGATTCACATGGAATGCAATTGGGGGCGGTGAGGGGGATGTCTAAGACTGCATGCAAGTAACCTCCAGATTTAACAAGTCAGAGGATTATCTTGGGGCAGTTTTTTGGCTCCACCCCCACCCCTGAAATTCCCACCGCTTAATTTAAAGATCTAGGCATTGATTACTGAAAAGATTTCTGTACTTGGCCGGAAATGTTTGCATAATTCAGGGTTGACCTTTGTCACTAAACCCCACTTCTGGTGCTCAAAAAGAGCTTTCATTTCCATGGTATAAGGATCCAAACACTTACATTTTATTAAGAGGATGGCTTAAATGACTCCTTGTCTCTCTCACCTCCCACAAGTGTTTTCTATTTACCCATTTAAGTAAACAGTGCTGATTTCCTGGGGTGCCCGTCTAAGAGCATCTTGTAGGTCACGAAAAGGTTGAGGCCCGGTTTGCAACTCCGCATTCTGTTAATTTCTTAAGAAACACAAGTTGCGGGCCCCCGCACAAAAGGCGATGATTTAATGAGGAAAAGAAACAAACTGGCTGATTGTTGGCGCTCACAACTGCCTTGGGAGTCCCTCTGGCAGCCACAAGCTGAACTCTGTGCCTTCAATGCAGCGTGCTTTTGGAGGAGAGGCTGGTCTGAATAGAGGACAAAGACAGCTTGTTCTGTTTATTTACCCTGCCTACAAGTTGGGTTAACCTCTCCCAAACAGCCGGGTTAAGCCCGTTAGCTGCCCAGCCCAGATGAGCTGCTGCTGCCTCATGGCCACTGTCATGCAAACGAGTCTTCTCGAGGCCACCCTCTCCCACCCCACTGAATTTATGCCAAGGGGCAGCCTGTGTGCAGCTGGAAGTCAAACCACTCTCCATCCATTGCGGAAATAAATCCTGCCCTATTCACTTTGCTAGACAAGATAGTTGACCAGCGGAGATGCCCATCATTCAGATAAAACAGGAAAAGAAAATTGCTTTCAATTTCAACAGGGACCAAGCTCACCCATTCCAAAGCAGTCCATTAAAAAAAGAGGAAGGCTTGATCATCGGAAGCAAAAAAAAAAAGAGGAGGATTGATGCTAATTCAGCTGGGTTGAAAGACGCTGAATGGGAGGATGGAGTAGCATATTCCGGGAGCCCATCCAGATGGGATTTCTTTAGTAAATTGTGATTTAGTGTGAAATGTGAATACAGGCTGAAAACCTGTGGTAGAAAAGTACATAATGGGTGACATAATGCAATATGCTTTAATTTGAGTCAGATGGCTTTTCAGAGTCATATTAATCAGGATATCATATAACCAATGACAGGGTGTATATCTGAGTCCTAAGCCATATCCTGCAGGATTTACTATGCCATTGGGGGCATCCACAAGGTATATGTATGTATTCGGCAAAGTCAAGATGGCTGCAATGGTGTGATTGAAGTTCCATTCCTCTTTATGTGAGTTAAGCAGGACTTCCAATTGTGTAGTTAAATCAGTCATCATTACTCCCTCCCTCCCTGTGAATGTCCCTGTATCCTATTTTACTAACTCCTTAGCTGTGTTCGCATGAGCCGCAGAACTGCTACCTGGCCAATCACATGTGGTGGGATCCATGGTTAGTCTAAGATTCAGCTTGATACATAAACCCCAAAATGATCTCAAGTGAATTAGGACAGGTAAATATGTGAAGATAGTTATTGTCTCTAACATATTTGTCTGTGCAATAACAGTATACTCTTTTAGGGAATCATCATCATCATCATCATCATCATCATCATCATCATCATCATCATCATCATCATCTTGGCTGAAGCTATAGAGAAGCAGTCACCTAACATATGTTTTGCAGATTGGCTCCTGGGTCCTATAGGACTTCTCAAAAAAAAAGAAAAAAAAAGAGGGGAATATTTATTGGTTTCCACCCAGGGCTTTGTTTGAAAATGCATCATTGTGCTTTGGGAAAAACAACACAATAAACTGTGATGTAGAGAGCCCCCGGTGGAGACTGGAAGGAGACACTGGTTTGTTAAATGGGTCTCTTTATCATAAGACATGGCTATAAGTGCAGCTTTACTGCAAATAGGTGAGCCAATTTATAAAAGTGCTCACAACATGGCCTCAACATTTTAAAGATGCCCACCACCAGTCCAGAAAGCTGTCTCCCCTGGTTTTAAGTGGCACCATGGAAAGTGAAGTAGATTAAATAGATTAATATAAGAGGAGTAGATGAATGAAGGACTTCTTTGATATAAATAGAAAGAAACACCATATCCAAATACCAAGTCATCTCAACAGTATATTATCTTGGTATATTTCAACAGTATAGTTTCTCTTAGTTTCACAAGGGGAATCTTTCCCAGACATGCCCAGGACTGGACCAAAGGCTGTTCATTGTCAGTTAGATAAATCTCTTTCTATGTTCAGTTCTGTTAGAAATATCTCTGTAGTTGAGCTGGAACGATCTTTTCTGAAGAGAATGGAAATGGGTCACCAGTGCATGAGGACAATTTGAGGCTGGAAAAAAAATCATGTATCTATTTGGTCTATGGACCTATAATTCTGCCATGAATCCTTCTAAGTACATACACAAGCTGCAATTTTGGATTAATCATTCTCCGGAATTACGGTACATCCAGTTTTCTTCTCATTATAATTTAAAACCAGACTTTATTAATATGCTCATAAAAGGCATGGTAACTAACCCCTTCTTTAAGGTCATGTTCAAAACTGATTTCTGCAGGGCTGAAAATGCTGTAATATGGCTATCTGCAGGGATTCAAGTAGCACTATCATTGAGTGTTAAAGAAAAAAATTAAGCTTCCTGAAATTTACAATCTATAATTCCTCTGCTGTCACCCTTTGTGATGATACTAAAAGCAGTGCAGAGCATGTTGAAGAAAAACTAGTGGTCTGATTCAACAGTGAGATGCTTTTTTAAAAAAAAAGCAGTTTTGACAAATCCCTTCTCCATAGGCACTTGGATTACAGGGATTTACCAAACTGCACATATTTATAAATCACATATCCAATTGCACTTGGAAAAAAAAATAAGAGGTATTCATTTAGGTGGGAAGAGGTCCACATGACAGTTGTTTTTGCACAGTGAAATGGGAAAACTTCTAATTATTTAATTTTCTAAAACATATGAAAAAAGTTACAGAAGATGGTTTGAGCTCCTAATTGATGCATACAAATGTTTAACTACAAACTTCTTGAGAAGTTAACTAAGCCATATTAAATGGTTTCGAGCTTGCACTTTCTACTGCAGGCAGCAAAATCCATTGGGCCACAGTTGTTAATTTAGATTAAATATTCTAAAAGCAATGCTTCTTCAGACTGAAAGAAGCTAAGCTGGAAATCTAGTCAGAGAGGAGGTTCTACCTTTAAAAGTCACACAGAACAGTGCCAGAAGTGTATTTTATTATCTTCAGCTGGAAAAAATATGACTTTGGAATGTTTGCTTTCAGTATAACTCTTAAAGTAACAGGAACACAAGTTGAGGAAGGAATGTCTATGGATCCCTTCAATACTGTATGTGTCAAGTCTCTGAAACTCTGGAAAACCTCCATTAAGACTACTTGTGTAGAATTTTAAGCAAAGAGCAGCTCTTTTCTTTTTTGCATAACAAAATATGCTTCCCAAGGGCCCCTTTTCTACATACCCCTGAAAGATAAGGAACTTTTTCCTCCTTTGGCAACTCTGCTGTTCACAAATTTTCTGAGTCAAATATTAATTGAAGTCTGTCCACATCACTGATTGATTTTAATTGGTCACTTTTCCAAAGAAAACAGTTTTGCTTTCAGGTCTGTCACAACTCATTTGTCATAGGAAACAGGCTCCAATCTTACCATTCTCATTGACATTCAGTAAGAAAAATAGATCAAAGTTGTTGGACATGTATTCTGAATTGGACTGAAATGTAAATCATTGCACTGTCCTTTCTCTCAGTGTTATGTAATTTTTCTTGAAGAAGCTCCTGGAATCACTCTTCAGGGAAAAGTTTATTTAGCAGATTATTTTTTCTTGATGGCAGTAGCAAGTGTAACAATATTTTGGGCCTGTTTCAGTAACGGCATGTCTATCATGCTGCCATGGAACGTGAAGGCGCCCTGCAAAGAAAAAAAGAAAATTCTCAAAAGAGATCTTGGGAAAATAAAATTTCAGGCTATAGTTAGTTATAATACTTAGTTTGTTAGCCAAGAATCATTACATCCCACATGAATCAGAGATATCTTCTACCTGTTTTAGAAAGAGCCCAGGGGTACAATGATAAAATAATTAAAAAGAGAAAAAGAAATGCAGAAGCTAAGCAAGGTCAGGTCAGGCTTGGTCTTGAATGGGAATTCAGAGAATTCCAGGACTGTGAAGTAGAATGTGAACTTGAAAAAAAAAAAGCCCTGAAGACAATTGCCAACTACTTCTATGTTGCTGCCGAAAAAGCAACCTGTCTATGTCCTTGTAGTTATCAGGAATCAAGCTCAAACCAGAGAAATGTTAACTTTTTTCTCTCAGACAAAATATTCTTCCTCTCTGCTCCCAGAAAAGACATAAGAAGATGTAACCTGAGCTGCATGAATGAAAGTAATGTTATGGAGAGTAGGCCCAACAATTCATTTTGCACTTATAACAATTTTGCCAGGTTCCAGTTGTTTGGCACTATAATACCGGTATCCACAAGGAATATTTTCTTTTTGCTAAATCACAGTCTTGAGTAAGCAGTATTACTATAAAACCTATTAAAACTCATCCCCAATATTGATACCAGAGAACTAAAAAGGGTTTGTGTTGTGTTCTGAGAACAGTGTGAAGCAAGATTTAAGGTTGTATGCAGGGGAGAGAAGATGGAGCCTCTTTAGTTTCCGTTGATAGAAGAAGGTCCATCTACAGAAGAGGATGAGTGCTGGATTCTAGCAATTGTGAATATTAGAACAGAATCTTATCCAAAAAGATCCACATATGCACTTCTTTCTGTTACTGGAAAAAATGACAACAGTGATAGATAAACTAGACCAGAGAAATTGGTCACGTTTCTAACCAGCATTGGAGAATCTCTGATGTGGTTTAGAAAACCGTGGGTAAGATTATACAAAGGTTTTTGAAGAGTAAAAAATAAAAAGAGAGACCAATTGCCACTCCCAATAGCAAAATTTAGGATTGTTCGAAAAAGAACAAATGGTAAAAAAAAGTCTTACAAACATACTGTATGGAGAGAAATATAATCAATGTTTGAATACAGAGAAGTGGTTCATGTTACAGTATATTGAAGAAGGCTAATGCAATGACAAAAAATATCCTGATATTATTATTAATGAATTTTGTTTCTACTGCTTCTATTAATTTTATTTATACCACAATCCCTTGCTTATTTGTCTCAGGTGGCAGCTCCTGGCTGACTTTGATTAGGCTTAGAAGCTAAGCCGTGTTAACCTTGGTTAGTAGTTGGATGTGAGACACCCAGCAATGCTAGGACTGGTGGCTAGCATGGACTAAAATATCAAAGCAGTTCTACATTGTCTCCATCCAGGAAAACCACATTGATGCATCCTCAAAGTTCGCAAGGTCATGGATAACATGTAAGAAGCAGCTTCTTTATGCATATTTATTTACTAAAACATAATCCCATTGACTCGAAATGAATATGTGCAGGATTGTAGCTTACATTTGTCATGGGCTACTCTAGGTTGCTTACAACAATGAAAAGGAAGACATGAAAAGAGTACAAATAGAACAGAAGTAAAATACTGTAATAGAACAATAAAATAAATGAAAAAGAACACAAAGAGAATACATCAATAGGATTAAAAAAAAAGATGGATGGGTGAAGAGCAGAGAGCAAGGGGGAGGTGGAATCTGCCATCAATTCAGCAGCCACCTTCACCTTCACAAACCCCCATCTCGTCCCCAATCCAACTGGCAGAGCCAGGTCTTCATGCTCTTGTACAAAATGGGGGCAGATCTTACCTTAGAGGGTTGGATGTTCCAAAGAATATTTTATTTTGTTTTCAGAAAAAAAATAGCTGAATGTCCTGATTACATCTTGCTATAATTGGGAGTTGTAAATCCAGCTGCTATGGGATTGTCTTACTTAATTAACAGGGAAGCTGGTACCACTTTATAATGCCTTGAAAACACCACACTTGGAATACTGCATCTAGTTTTGGTTGCCATGATATAAAAAAGAAGTTTAGACTCTAGAAGGATTACAGAGAAGAGCAACAAGGTGGGAGGCACTGTGTTGCGGTGGTTCTCCTCCTTTCTCTCCGACCGGTCGCAGTTTGTGTTGGCAGGGGGGCAGAGGTCGACCTCGAGGCCTTTCATTTGTGGAGTGCCGCAGGGATCGGTCCTCTCGCCCCTTCTGTTCAACATTTATGTGAAGCCGCTGGGCGAGATCATCCGTGGCTTTGGGGTGAGATACCACCAGTACGCTGATGATACCCAGCTGTACATCTCCACCCCAGGCCACCCCAACGATGCCCTTGAAGTGATGTCCCAGTGCCTGGAGGCTGTGCGGATCTGGATGGGGAGGAACAGGCTCAGGCTCAACCCTTCCAAGACTGAGTGGCTGTGGCTCCCGGCATCCCGATATAGCCAGTTGACTCCATCACTGACTATTGGGGGCGAGTCTTTGGCCCCCACTGAAAGGGCCCGCAATCTGGGAGTCCTCCTAGATAGGCAGCTGTCTTTGGAGGAACATCTGACGGCTGTTACCAGGGGGACCTTTTATCAGGTTCGCCTGATTCGCCAGTTGCGGCCCTTTCTTGATCGGGATTCCTTGTGCACAGTCACTCACGCCCTCGTCACCTCTCGCCTTGACTACTGCAACGCTCTCTACATGGGGCTCCCCTTGAAGAGCACCCGGAGGCTCCAGCTGGTCCAGAATGCAGCAGCGCGGGTAGTGATGGGAGCAACATGGCCCTCCCATGTAACACCGCTCCTGCGCGAGCTGCACTGGCTCCCGGTGGTCTTCCAGGTGCGCTTCAAGGTGTTGGTTATCACCTTTAAAGCGCTCCATGGCATAGGGCCTAGCTATCTCCGAGACCGCCTGCTGCTACCGATGACCTCCCATCGACCCGTGCGCTCCCACAGAGAGGGCCTCCTCAGGGTGCCATCAGCCAAACAATGTAGGCTGGTGACCCCCAGGGGGAGGGCCTTCTCTGTGGGGGCTCCCACCCTCTGGAATCAGTTGCCCCCGGAGATAAGAAGAATCCAGGACCTCAATGCCTTCTGTCGTTCCCTGAAAACCTATCTTTTTCAGCAAGCCGGGTTGGCTTAAGAAGAAATTTTTAAAATTTTTAAATTCTTTTAATTAGTCTGTGATTCTTAACTTTCGGGCCAAAATTTATATATATTTTTAAATGTTTTAATATTTGTATTCTATGTTTTTTATCTTGGCTGTACACCGCCCTGAGTCCTCAGGGAGAAGGGCGGTATATAAATTGGAAATTAAATTAAATTAAATTAAATTAAATTAAACAAAGATGATTAGGAGACTGGAGGCTAAAACATGAAGAACAGTTGCAAGAATTGGGCATGTCTAGTTTAATGAAAAGAAGGATTAGGAGTGACATAATAGCACTGTTTCAATATTTGAGGGACTGCCACAAAGAAGAGAAGGTCAACCTATTCTCCAAAGTAGCTGAAGGTAGGACAAGAAGCAATGGATGGAAACTAATCAAGGAAAGAAACAACGTAAAACTAAGGAGAAATTTCCTGCCAGAACAATTAATCAGTGGAACAACTTGCCTCCAGAAGTTGTGAACGCTCCAACACTGGAGGTTCTTAAGAAGAGATTGGATAAACCATTTACTAAAATGGTATAAAGTTTCCTGCCTGAGCAAAGGCTTGGACTAGAAGACCTCCTTTCACTTTTTATTGTTATTCTGTTAAAGTATGAAAATGAAGATGCCATTGGAAAGATAGTTCAGCTTTGTTCAAGCTGGTGCTGGAATCCTCCTGCTCAAGCAGGAAACCCTATACAAATGGTTGTCCAATCTCTTCTTAGAAAACTCCAGTGTTAGAGCACCCACAACTTCTGATACCATTGACATAATATCTATATATATTCCAAATTAAATATTTAATTCAGCCCTTGCTAAATTAAAAAAAAACATGACATGTAAAAATGCTTATTTCAGTTAACATTTCCAGCAGTATTCTACCCTAACCTGTTAATATTGCTTATCTTAATATAGTATGCTCCAAAGAAGGTATATTTATTCTGGGAAATTTAATGCCAACATCGTGTAATATGTGAAAGAATGACAAATCTTTTGATGCTGATATTGCTAGGCCTCAACCTTTTTTACTTCAAAATAAGCACAACTGAAATAAATTGAAATTACTTCTGAGTAAACAAATTTAAGATTTTTTTCGGTCATAGAGGTGTATTGTACTTTCTTAAAGACCATGGCCTTGGTCAAGCTGCAGGATAAGGAGGTTCATGGAGATATTGTTGCTAAAGAATTAAGTAAGCCAGGAAGGATGTGAAGGAAGTAAAATTACATTGACAATGTCAAATCTCTCTCTTTCTTCATGTCTCTTACCTATAGACTGAATGGGATAAAATGAATAATTTTCAGCCAAGCTTTAGCGGTTTAATTCTAGCAAAATCCCTGCCAATTACAGTGAAACAAAATGTGGGACTGCTGCCACTTCAATAAATTGAAATGATATTTAGGTGGTACAGCTTTCCTTTGAATGCTCTTGGTTTACCCCGAGATGACCATATTGGCCAGAACATTAGCTCTTTTGCTCTGCCCTGCTCTGGAGAAGAAAGAAGGCAGCTGAGCCCCATTACACCTGGAGCCCCAAAGGTGGGGGAGCACCAGGTAAGATTTGGAAGATATGGCTTTGTGGTCTTCTTGCTACAAGGTCTTCTTGCATCCTATCATGCTCTGTGGTGGCGTGTGATGCCTTGAGTTGGATCTGAAGGACAGAATTTTTCAACCTTCTGCCCATCTTTTCATATCTGAAAATTTGATGGGGGCAGGATAGATCAAATAACATCAGATATAAAAAAGTGATTGTTTTCATACACTATCTTTGTATAAGCTGGGAAGGATGTCTCAGATATGCCTAAGTACTCAAGAGAATATATTTTAACACCATT